CACCAGAGAAACTATTTGGTATTTACACATGTGTGTCCTATTTATTTCACTTAAGAGTATGGCCTCAATGTGCATCCACTTAGCTATAAATGTCTCTAGTTTCTTGTTCTTTATGGCTGAGTAGTATTCTATTTGATTAAAAAAAAAAAACACATCTTATTCATCCAGTCTTCAGTTGATGGGCAATTGGGCTGTTTCCAAGTTTTAGCTATTATGAACTATGCCACTATAAACATGGGTGAGCATATATATCAGTGGTATGATTCTTTTAATTCTTTTGGGAAGATACCCAGCAGAGGAATAGCTGGATCAAATGGGACTTCCAATCCTGGTTGTTTGAGGTATCTCCATACTGATTTCCACAATGGTTGCACCAGTCTGCACTCCCACCAACAATGGAGAAGGGTTCCTTTCTCCCCACACCCCCGACAGCACTTGTTATTGGTTGATTTCTTGATAGCAGCCATTCTTTCTGGGGTGAGGTGGAATCTCAATGTTGTTTTTGTCCCAAATGACCTTTTTTGCGCGGGTACTGGGGATTGAACTCAGGACCTTGTGCTTGCGAAGCAGGTGGCAGAACCACTGAGCTAAATCCCCGGACCTCAGATGCCCATTTTTGAACCCCCATTTTGGGTCTTTATATTTGGGATGGTCTGATTCTTTTGAGGTCTTTATATATTCTACATGGTACATAGTAGACCTTTGTCTGAGGAACAGCTGGTAAAAATTTTTTCCCACATTGTAGGTTGTCTCTTAGCTTTGTTGGTGATTTCTCTTGCAGTGCAGAAGCTTTTTAATAAGATGAGATCTCAGTTGTTGATTATTTGTGCTAGTTCCCATGCTACTGAGGATTTGTTCATAAAGATTTTTCCCTATGCCAATGTCTTCGAGAGTTCTACCTACTTTATCTTCTAGCAAGTTTGGTGTTTCTGTTTTAATATTTAGATCTTTAATCCTCTTTGATTTTAGTTTAGTGCATGGTGAAAGATAGGGGTCTAGTTTTAATCTTTGGCAAGTTGAAACCCAATTTTTCCAGCACCATTTATTAAAGAGACTATCTTTCCTCCTGTGAGGGTGTTTCACTCCTTTGTCGAAGATGAGGTGGCTGAGTATGTCTGGAGTTGTTTCTGCATCTTCTAATCTATTCCACTCATCCTTAGGTCTGTTTCTTTGCCAGTACCATGTTGTTTTTATCACAGTGGCTTTGTAGTATAGTTTCAAGTTGGGGATTGTGATACCCCCAGCCATGTCTCTGTTGCCTAGAATTGCTTTTGCTATTCTAGGTCTCTTCTGGTTCCAAATGAATTTTTGTTCTCTAGTTCTGTGAAATATACTGTTAGGATTTCAATTGGGATTGCATTGAATCTGTATAGCAATTCTGGAAGTATGGCCATTTTCACAATATTGGTTCTTCCTACCCAGGAACAAGAGATATCTTTCCATTTTCTTATATCCTCTTTGATCTCTTTTTTCAGAGTGCTGTAGTTCTCAATGTAGAGGTCTTTTGCTTCTTTAGTTAGATTGATTCCTAGATATTTCATTTTTTTGGATGCTATCATGAAAGCGATTGTTTCCCTAATTTCTCTCTCATTGAGTCTGTTATTACCCAGGAGCATTCTTCATCTGGTAGACATTTCTCAATCCAATGAAGTTGATGTAGCAGGATTAAGGGTCACAATTGCTTCAACACAGAGCAATGAACACTGTGATTGAAACATCTCAGCATTGTCCCTCTTTACTGGTCAGTCACTGCATGCCTGATATTGTGGGATTATTTACTGAGCACTGGTGGAGACAGCAAACTGAGCTCAATTCTTTCCCCATCCCTGTCCTCAGGCTCTCTCCATGTTGCTCTGCTGTCCTCCCACCCTTACCCCTGAATTGAGCTTGCAACTTGGTTTAGTCAACACAACTGTAGAAATAAAGAACTGCTCGTTTGCAGTCTGAACCTTGAGAGGAGGTGCATGCCCCACTCCTGCCCCCGGAGCCCAGCAGTGCCATGTGAACAAGCTGAGTGTTCCCGCTGGGAGGCCAGAGCTATGGGGCCCAGTGGCCTCGGTGGACAGAAGCAGAGGTTGTCTTCTGCCTGGCAACTGACCCCACCTGCAGCGGGGAATCCATTTGAGACCAGAAGAGTTTCCCAGTTATGACCCCCAAAACCATGAACTAAATAAATAGTTGTTGTTTCCAGCTGCTTCTAAGTCTTGGGGTGTTTTATTATGCACAAATCTGACTGATGTCAAGCTCAGGTGTTTGGAATGAAGGAAAAGGCTTGGGCAGACATGGTGCAGTCTGAGTACAGAACAGTAAGTCCTCTGAGAAGCAAGCACAGGCACAGATGCTGTGGCCCTTTAGCTGGCAAGGAATTTTGTCCACATGGAATTGGAAGGGCCAGGATGAACTTCCTGAGATGGGGGCTGGGCAAGGTAAAGCATGAATGTGGGGAACCCGGGCTGGGGCCATCAGTCAGCAGTTGGCAGCATTTGCTGAGCCCTTAGGTTGTGCACCAAAGCCCTGTATGGCTTAGTAGGGGAGAGAAAATATCCACGTGCAGAAGCTGGCCACAAATGTAAGGCTATTTGTTTTGCAATGCTGGGGGTTGCAGACCCAGGGCTTCATACATGCTAGGCAAGAGCTCTACCCCTGAGCCTCAGCCCCAGGCACTGGGGCCTTGCATGTAACAGGCATTCAGTTTTGAAAGACATACTGTGAGATTTCTCATCCTCCATGCTAGGGACTGGAAGTGTCTGGATATTTTTTTTTTGGAACCAGGGATTGAACTCGGGTCCTTGTGCTTGTGCAGCAGGTGGTGAAACCACTGAGCTAAATCCCTGGCCCCATGGAAGTGTCTGGATATTTTTGATAAATTTGGAATTATTCCAAATGAGATCTTGGGATGGGACTCAAGTGTAAACACAAAATTCCTGAGTGTTTCATGTATACCTCACACAATAGATTTAGTGCACCTGTAGCTGACTATGACCTGCCACTGTGGTCAGGGGTGGACTTTTCCACGTAGCACTGTGTTGATATTCACAGTTTCAGATCTTGTAGCATTGGGTTATTTACTTGGGTGGCTATACCAGATTGTCACAGACTGGGAACTTTAAATCAAGAGAAACCTGTTCTCTCACATTTCCGGAAGCCTGAACCATGTGCGCAACAGAGGCTGTTCCTTTGTGGAGGATCTGAGCATTACTTGGCTGCAGATTCACCACCCCTGTCTCTGCTTCCCCCCATCACCGCTACCACATCATGTCCTTCCTGAGTCTCTGTGTCTCTCCTCGTCTGAGAACTCCAGCTGTTCGGGGTTAGGGTCCTCCATTGCTCAGCGTAACCTCTTCCAAACTAATCTCATCTGTGATGACTCTATTTCCAAACATGGTCACATTCTGAGGTACTGAAGGTTAGGCTCTTAAAGTATTGTTTCTGAGGGACCAGTGCAACCCATAACATTAATCAAAGCCCCCCGGGGGTGGTGGTGGTGTGTGTTCCTCGTGAGACTGCCCAAGCCTCCAGGGGCTGAATTACTTTCTCTAGAAAGTGGCCGTATTGAATCCCTCTGGAAGGCTGAATTGCCCCGAAAGCCTGGGCAATTTAGCAAGACTCTGTCCTTAATAGAAAAAAAGAAAGTAAGAAAGAAAAAAATATATATTTAGTGGGAGCTGGGCATGGTGGTACAAGCCTGTCATCCCAGCCCTAGAAAGGCTGAGCTAGGAGGGTCGCTGCAAGTTCAAGGCCAGCCTGGGCTATGTAGTGAGTTCAAGGCCAGTCTGAACTTCAAAGCAAGATACTGACTTAAAAAATAAATAAAATAAAAAGTCTGGGGATGTAAGTCAGTGAAAAGGTGCAGGGTACAATCCTCAGGCCCAGCCAACCAACCAAGTAACCAATCCTAAAACTCCCAAACAAAACAAAAACAAAACCTTCCAGGAAACACTTTTCTCCAGGCCTATGCATATTTAATGAACGTCTCTGTTTATAAAGCCTTTGATAGGTTTGTCAGTTACACTTGAGGCGGGGCCCTATCTCCTGTGTCTTCCCACAGGACTGATAAAGTGTATGTCAAGTCCTCCTTAAAGGAGGGCCAGGGAAGCAGCTACCTTTTGGGACCATGGGCACTGCACTAAGCACTCCACACATCAGTCCCCACAATGAGCCTGCGAAGTATGTGTTTATATACTTCAGTTCCTTTTTTATTTTCTTTTTGGCTTTTTTTTTGAAACAAGGTCTCCTTATGTAGTTCAGGCTGGGTGTGAACTCACTATGTAGCCCAGGGTGACCTGAGCTCCTAGCGATCTTCTTGCCTCAGCCACCTGGGTGCTAGGATTTCAGGCGCGCGGCACCACACCCGGCCTACTTCAATTCCTATTTTATAGATGGGACAATTGGGCTCCCGCGAGGTGAAGTAACTGGCCAGAATTTCTATAAACACCTGAATGGGAGCCCCAGGGCGCCACATGAAAAGTTCTCCACGCTCCATCTTCAAGTTTTTCAAAGTACTCCCAATCTGACTAGTTCAGCCCCATTTCCTCCAGAAAAGCAAACCCGACCCTCAGCCCTCAGGATCCTGCTGGAACGCTCCGCAGATTCAGGTCTACACCCTCCCACCCCCTCGGTGTTCTCCCTGCCCAAGAAGCGCACAAAGCGGTTCCTCCCTGTTTTCGAGAGCACGCGTGGGGAGCGGCGAGCTGATTGGTTGTGAGCCTCTGCCCGCCCCCTCCCCGCTCCCCGCGCCCGTTTCGCCATGGCGATTGGCTAACGGCCGTGAGGCAGCGCCTCCAATCCCCTGCGCCCCGCCCCTCGGTCCGGGAACTCGCATGGGGCGCAGCCGGCTGCCGAAGGAGTTGGAGTGCGTATCGCCGGGCGCTAGGAGGCATTGTCGCCGTAAGTGGAGCCGAAAGCGGCCCGCATCCGGGCCACACGCTTCGTGCCCCGCACAGTAAACGTGGTCTGCGGCCTGGCGTTGCAGGGGCCGGGGGAAAGGGGGAGAGGAGTGCCCCGTGTTGGCGGCGTCCCCTCCCCTCCCCTCCCCCAGGCCCGGTGGACCCGAGCCGCCGCACACCGGGTGCGGCTCCGCGGCCCAGGCTGTGCGGGCGTGGCGGGTCCTGCTCGCTTCGCGCGGCCGGCCCGCCCTGGCTGGGGAGCGGGGAGGCGGGCAGCGCTGCGGGGAGGCGGCGCCAGTGCTGGGAGAGGCTGCTGCTGTATTTCGATCCCGAAACCACACTTTCGGGTTTGCTTCCGCTCTGGGGAGCTGCAGATGCCCGCCCGGGAGAGGCCCCCTGGTCCGCGTGAGGAGCCCCCGGCCCCCGCGATCGCTAGCCTACTCTCCTCTGCCGGCCTTATGCTCTTCAGTCCCCGCCTGCCAGGCCAGCGGGGACCGGCGACGGGAGCCACTGGCTGCGGGCGTGGGGGTGAGGGGGACCCCTGCGGGTCAGGCGCCGGGACCTTGGGCTGCCCCGCGCACAGTCCTGGGTGGCACGTGCCACTAAGCGCATTTAGGGAGCCTGTTCGCGGCTCCCCAAAGCCCAGGGTGCAAATACAAGGCTCTGGCCCGTCCTGCTCATGCCCCAGCGGGCTCTTTCCCCCCGGGTGGGAAAGTGGGTCAACCCTGCTCTGGCCTCGAGTGGGCCGAATTAGGGGTGCTGAGGAGAAAGCCCTCCGTCCCACATCTCCCTTCCTGCTCCTCGGCTTGGCAAGGTCGATAGGCCTGGCTAGCCACAGCCTTGGGGGCAGCTTGCACGCACGCTCTGAGGCTCGGGTTGCCACGCAGAGCCGCTGCCAGGCTCTAAAGTTCCCGACTGACCACACCAGTAACTAAATATAGGAGCAGCTGGTGCGGACAGGGTGTCGCAGCGGCTCCTCTGCAGAGATCTGGGGACTGCAAGATAAGGCAGTGTTCTTGCTGGTAAGGGCCAGAAGGCCATGGTCCGGGCTTAACCCCTCACCCGGCTTTGAATCCGGGTCCTGATTTGGCCGAACAGGAGGGAGGATTGCTCGCTCCTGCCAAACAGGGCTACTTCTTTTTGGGTCTTAAGTTATATCTGAACTTCTGTCTGCACTTGTTTGATCACTTACTTATTGGTAGTCCTTTCGTATGGGAAACCTTAATGGTCTGCAGAGTCCTTTCTCAGGACTGACATGTCAGATACTTTTCACAGTAATGCCGTTGAGAAAGCTGGTATTTCCATTTTATGAATGAGGCTGCTTCACAGCACATAACTTTCCAAAACTCTGCTTGGATTAGTTGCTCTCTCCTCAGAGGACAGCTTGACAGGGAGGCCTAGCCACATGCCTCGATGGCTGTGTGCGCGGCCTGGTGTCACAGCTGTGCCTCCATCCCGTTCATTCTGCTTCTAGGTGGGAAGCTTCTTCTGGTCAGTACCCTGTCTCTGTCCCCTTACTCTACAGTACGGGTGGTATAGGAGGTGCCCAGGAGATGATAGGTTTAAACATTTCCTGGGCCACAGTGAACACTCTGGGAAAAGAGGAAGTGGGGTGCATGAGGGCCATGGCGGGCAGCAGCAGTGTGAGTATGGGCCTGGACACCATGTTGAAAGGTCTCTGGGATTTGGAGTTGGAGTTCTTTCCTTGACATTTCCTAAGCCCTTTGCTCTCCTACAGTGCCTGGGAGCCGAGGTGCCATCCAGCTGGAGTGCCCAAGCCCAGATGAGACCCACATGGGCCATGGTTCCTGTCTCTTCCCTTTAGGATGTCCTCTGACTCTTGGCCACCACCACTGTTTGCCTGGGGTTGACCAGATGCCTAAAGGAGCCCAGCACTGGGCCTGTGGGTTGTCTTGGGGCCCTGTGGTTGAGTTCTGGTTCCTGGAGGGGCTGCCCATGTACCCATTGTTCATATGGTACTGACTAGTAGACTGTACCTTGACTCAAATTGTTTAATAGACAGGAGCCCCACCCCCAGGGCAGCCCTACATGAGGCTCTGCATTCAGTCCCAGGCAGGACCATGACTGTCACTTGTGTGATTTGGACATTTTTTCTGTTTTTCTCAAAATCAATTCAAAACAACAACAACAAAAAGCTTTCTTTATCCCCCCCAGCCTTTCTCCCTAATTTTTGTTGTTGTTGCTGCTGTTGTTTGTTTGAACTCATGATTTAGCCCAAGCTGGCCTCGAACTCATGGCAATCCTTCTATCTCAGCCTCCTGGGTGCTGGGATTACAGGTATGCACCACCATCCCTGGCCTTAAATAAATTCTTGGGTTTTTTTTGTTTTTGGTCAGATAGGCTTGGGGGTGAAAGGAGCAATGAATGAATATAGTTGGATGATCTTAAAATTTCCTTCCCTCCCTCCTATCTCTCCTCCTCCCCTCCCCTCCCCTCCTCTCCCTTTCCCTCCATTCTCCTCCCCTTCCCTTCCCTTCTTTCCTTCTGTTGGTGATGGAACCCAGGGTCTTGTGCTAGGCAAGGGGTCTACCACTGAGCCAGCCCTTTTTATCTTACTTTGGGACGAGGTTTCACTAAGTTGCCAGAGCTGGCCTAGAACTTGCTACTCTCCTGGTTCGGTCTCCTCAGTAGCTGGGATTATAAACCACCACATCCAGCTGAAGTTAGGTGATCTTGTTGGTGCCCTTTTGGGACCCCAGAGGCCCATTCCAGTCCCCTGATGTCCCAAGTTTGTTCTTCCCTCAGTCTGGACCCCTCTGACCCTATATTGGGCCCCATGTAACATGTGACCCCACTGTCCTTCCCTTTCACACTGCCTGTGTGGAAGAGGGCAGGCCTTTGTCATCTGGCCTGGGAGAGGGACTGCCAGCTGGACTTGGTGGAGCAATTCCCCTTTGTGGGGGAAGAGGTAGGTTTTTTTTTAATAACATTTTTTTCTTGTTTTTTTTTTTGGTACCGGGGATCAAACTTGGGACCTTGCAACTGCGAGGCAGGGAGCAGAACCACTGAGCTAAATCCCTGGCCCCATTTTTTCTTAATTTATAACTTTTTTTTTTAGTACCCTGGATTGAACTCAGGACCTTGCGCTTTCGAGGCAGGTGGCGGCACCACTGAGCTAAATCTCCTTGGGGAAGAGGTAATTTTAGGTGAAGAAAGGGTGGCTTCCTAGCGATGCAGCAAGGGTGATGATTTTAGGCAGCTACCACTGACATTTTAGATGATGGTTTTGGATCCCCAGAACATCCTCTGGAAGGTACAGAGCCCTTCTTCCTAGTGAACTCTTCTGCTATCCAGGCCTTACTTGCTGTTCCTGTTCATGCTCCTGTGTCCACTCCCACCCACACCTTTGGTTTCTGGCACCAGTTAAATGAGTTGTTTTTTGTGGGTTTTTTTTGGTACCAGGGATCGAACTCGGGTCCTTCTGCTTGTGAGGCAGGCGGCGGAACCACTGAGCTAAATCCCTGGCCCTTAAATGAGTTTTTTTAATGGGACTCATTTTCATCCATGGCTGAAGGTACCACTGCACCTGCTGGCAGCTAGTAGAATTGCAGGCGCTGGAACCACTGAGCTAAATTCGGGGCCCTGCTTCTGATTATTGGTGATGAATATTGGAGGTGAGGAAAGGAGGGGGCATGGTGTGGTAGGAAGAGTCCTAGGCTGGGAATTAGAAGACCTGGGTTCTTTGTTTCAATCTAGCCAATTCACCTCCCCTCTTGGGTCCTCAGTTTCCCCATTCATTAAGGGGTCAGATCAATTACCAAGGTTACAGCAACACTGAAGTGACTTGGTCTTAGGAGTCCTGAAGCTGTTGGGCTCAGTTCGCCACCGTCTCTCCTGTTCCCTGCTGTCCTCCCCTGTCCCAGCTTATGGACTTTGCATATTTGTCCTTTGAAGGCATTTGAACTGATGACTTTTCCCTACTTAGACTGTGTCTTGGATTTGTTGTAAGGCATTTGACTGGTGCTCAGCTTTGAAACCCAAGTGATGTCTGTTGACCATCATTATACCGCAGGGGATTCTGAGCTCTGTGTCTGGGGTGAGGTAGAGAGCAGGGGGAAGCGCAGTATAGATCTGCCCATAGGCTGCTGGGGGAGACGTGTGTGGGTGTGTGTGCACATTAAGGCTCATAAACAACCCAGGTGACTTATGCTAAGTCATTGAGTGCTGCTGGATCTCAGAGGGAGGAGAGAACACCAGGCTGGGGCAGTCAGGGAAGAGTTTCTGAAGGTGGACAGTTGGGAATTTTACTCATTCCTTAAGGATGAGTTCACTGGGATGTTTGTTCAGAGTTACACAGGTGATAAACTGGGCTTAGCTGCTGGCCTCACTGCACATGTGCTGCTGTGTTCTCTCGGTGGCATCTGTTGAGTATTTTTATGTGTCCTGGGCTCCAAGCTAGGTGGGTCTATATATTTTGATCAACTATGAACTCAGCAAGGTGTCACTAGATCTCCTACTCACATCAAGGAACTGGTCTCAGAGTAGTTAGGAAACTCTGTCCAGGCTTCTCAGCTGTGGATGGAGAGTTTGCCACTGGGTCTGTCTCTTTGCACTGCAGCCTGGTCTCAGGCCTGCAGGGCCGCCTCCTTGATGAAACACACTCTGTGGCGCACCACTGACTCTGCAGGTGCCTGTCCTGAGCACTGTGCCCACGCCCCTCCTCTCTGCCTTCCTATTCTGCCCTTAGCTCTCAGAGCCAGGTCAGTGGAGCCTCTCGAGCTGTCTGTGAACCCAGGCTTAGGCCTGGGGCACAGCTGGAGGGCATTGACCTTGAGTCAGTTCTTTCTTCTCTATGAGGGGTGCTGCTGCTGGTGGTGTGGGTGACTTCTGTAACCAGTGAACACTGGGTGTGCAGCTGGTCTGAACTCACTTCAAACTCCCTTCCATACTTTGACCTTGGCCAGGTCACTTAGCCACCCTATGCCTTGGTTTCCTTCTCTGTAATAAACAGGGAGTTGGGGACATTTCTCTGTCTTTATGTCTTACTACCTTGTAATTCTAACACCTTAGGATTTTGTCTTCCTCGCTCTTCTCTAAGCCTTTTCTCCCTAGTGATCCAGTTTCCTTTTCTCCTTTCCAGTCCCTCCCCCACTTCTTGCAGATTGCCCCAGCATCAGGCTGAGAATCAGGTCTGCAGGCCAACGTTGTAACCGCCCCTCCCTCTTGGCACATGGGAAGGGAATTCCTGAGACTTCCCACCTGCTGGACTGCGGGTTCCAGTTTGCCTGGGTATCCCTACTTCCTGCCATGCAAGAGGATCCTGGCAGATGCGGGTGGGGAGAACAGGGAAACTGGAGTGGTTGTTTGGATAGGCTCAGAGGTGATGGGATGGAGGGACACGTGCCTTTCCCTGCAGTTGGCTGTGCCTCACCTCCTCCCCAGCACCCCGCCTGTTGAGTCACAGGCCAGTGCACACCTGAGCCCTCACACCTGCCTGGCCACTGGTTCAAGCCAGGGACCCTGTGTCTGGTGAGGTCATACATGTTGGTCCTCCCAGAAAAGCAGTAGGGCCCAGCTGCCCTCACCCTGCGACAGGCAGATCAGCCCGTGCAAAGGCCAAGCTGGATGCAGCCTGGGTCCTGGGTCCCCTGAGAGGAGGTGAGTGGCTGGGGCCCTCCCTGTGGGTCCCTGGCAGCCTGGGGTCTGGAGAGAAGGATGCTGGGGGTGGACTCCGGCCCGTGCTTGATGGCCCTGTGTTTTCCCCAGGTGCAGGCCCCTTTGTGAAGAGCAGACCGGCCCGTTGGCTGGCAGCAGGACACCCAGGTCTGCATGCTGAAGAAGATGGGCGAGGCGGTGGCCAGAGTTGCGAGGAAGGTCAATGAGACAGTGGAGAGCAGCTCTGACACGCTGGGTGAGTGTGGGTAGGCCTCTTCCAGCTTCCCCCTTGGTTTGTGGTTGGTTCTGAAATGACATAGAAAGAGATGAAAGAGACAACATCAGTATGTACCCTTGCCATGAGGACAAGTGTTTCATGGGACTTTTATTGCAATGGTGGCAACTGTGTAGTTTTTGTATTCTGGGCCCCAGCGTAAGGATTACTTCTTACTCTGGCTCATGGCCAAAGAGGTTTGAAAAACACCAAGTAACGGAGCCTGTCTGCCTGCCCTTGAATAGCGATGACAGGATGTGTGTGCCCTTGGACCAGCTGCAGTACCAGGCTGGGCCTGGCCACATCGGTGCCTTCTGATTGTCATCTTGTTGAATTGTCACAATTTCCCTGCTATTAGTAGAACCTGCCAGGTGTGGCTGGCCTTGGCCTTCAGATGAGGAGGGGGTGGAAGGGTAAAGGCAGAGTGGGTTTTGGGGTTCACCCAGCTGAGAAGCCCCTTTATGTTGTGCTGTTTCACCTGAATTGTGTCATGTATGTCTTTTGGTTTGGATCAGTCATAACATTTTAGCTCGGTGGTTATGCTGAGACTCTAGCATTAAAGCAAAGCATCCTGCTTGGCTGAGTGTAACAGCTGTCTGTGACAGGACTGCAGGGGAGACAGTGTAGCTCCCTGTGTGGGCCTGTGTGCATAGATGATGCACGTGTGTGTCTCATCCCTGGAACATAAGCACCCACTGAGAGCCACAGATGTGTCATGGGGACCCAGAGAGCGAGAGCAGGGCTCTCTTGGGGATGATGGTGAGATGGACAGGTGGCCAGTGGCACGCAGAGAGGAATTTCACGGCCAGATAGGGGTGTGTGTGTGTGACAAAGGAGTGTTTCTGTGATAGTTACCGCTGGAGCAGAGGCCCTGAGGCTGGGAAGGTAGAGCATTTCTGTGAGCAGCCACTTATCAGGTGCATCTAGACTACAGACTCCTGAGTCAGGGGCCAGTGGCCCAGGAAGCTGAGAGACACTTAGTCTACAGGATGGGCTCAGTCACCACTTCTTCCAGGAAGCCCTCAGCCCTGTCCCATTCGCCTTTTGCTCCTTTCCTCCTCTGTAGCGCTCACTCAGTGTCCCCAGAGGACAAGGACCCTGTCATCTTTTGCCCCTTCCTCCCTGCCTCACTCCAGAGCTCAGGGGATTGTCAGGTGCTGTCTTAACATACGGAGGTGTTGGCTACACTTAACCGAAGTGAGAGAGTCGTCTCCTCTGCCAGAAGACAGACTTGAAGATTGCTGCTGGTTTTAGAGGGGTGTCTCGGGGATCCTTAGGCTGGTGAGCTGTTGGCTGTGGCCCTCAGTAAATGATTCTGGTCACGAATATGGCTGTGTTTACCTCAGTGTCCGGGGCTTTCTGCCATATTAATGCTGTGGTTGACAGGCAAGCTTTGGGTCATAGGGGTCTGGATGTGAATCTCCACTCTGCCACCTCCTAGCCTGGTACCTAAGTGGACTGCTTAACCTGCCTGACCCTCTGTTTCTTCATCTACAGACAAGGACAATATTTGCATCTTGCCTCACCAGGGTAGTTAGGAGTAATTGTAATGACTAAGGTGCATGGCCTGCAGGAAGCTGTCAGTGGCAGCTGTTATTTTTAATTTTTTCTCATCCCCCAAAGCTAGAGGTGGGGCATAAATCCTCCATGGCTGAAACCTACCTTCTCCAGGTGTGAGCCAGCCAGGCCTCTGCTGAGCCTGCCGCACACTGGCTTTACTGGGAAGTTCAGTACAAAGTGACAAATATCCATAGTGTGTCACCTACTCTTATTAAGATGTCACAGGGCGAAAGGAAATATGTGGTTTTGTCTCACCCAGAAGGAGTAAGGGTGGAGGAACAGCAGAGGAGTAGTGGTGGGCCTCACTGGGGAGGAGGCAGCAGAGAGGACACAGGTGTCCCAGTGGAGGGAACACACCTGAGCTGCAGAGAGGCTCCTGCCCGGTTGTCACTGCAGATGGGGGAGGTGGTGCAGGTAGGCCGCCAGGCAGGCAGCCTGGAAGGCCATGTTGGGGAGTCTGGACTCGAGCCTCTGTGGGTCAGAGATTACGACTCGTGTCCCCATGGGCCAGGTGGGCATTTCTGGGAAGGGAAGAGTGGGCAGCCTTCTTGGGGGAAGGGTGTGGGGTTGCCAGGATAGGGCTTCCTGAATGAGCTCCTCTGTGCTGTTCTGGGTCTGTGCCCACTGAGGAAGTCAAGCCAGGCCTCGGCTGTCCTGCTGGGCCAGTGGAGAGCCTGGGATTGAACCCCCAGCTGTCTGGCACCAGGCCTCACCCCACCGTGCAGACCTGGTATGGAGGTGGGTTGGGGGTGATCACCAGTCATGGGTGCCATGAAGCTCTAGTCTCATTGGGACAGCCTCTAGTCACAGTGGTCCTGGCTGAAGTTCAAGGCGCAGCAAACTATCAGACCAGGCCACTGTGGGCTCCTACAGCCCTGACTTTGGAAAGTAGAGCTGACTAGGCTCATACAGTTTAAGGGGTCTGGGCTCTAGGAAGTCAGCACATATTAAGTGCCTGTTGTGTGCAAGGTACTGGGGAGCTCCCAGGGATATGTGCTACTAGGAGAGTTCTGGACCTGAGACAGAACACCCATGAGACAGAGAGCAGGGGGTGACACATGGCTGTGTGCTAAGCTATGTCAGATATACCACAGGTTATCATAGATCTGAGGAGGGAGATGTTGCTGGATGTTGAAATAGGCTGAGAAAGCTTTCTGGAGGTGCTGGGACTCGAACTGGGCCTCAAAAGGTAGGCAGCATTACTTAATATGGTTCTCCTGTAAAATGGCAATCAATCAGGGCTGGGGATTTAGCTCAGTGGTTCCGCCGCCTGCCTTGAAAGTGCAAGGTCCTGAGTTCGATCACTGGTACCAAAAAAAAAAAAAAAAAATCAATCAGTCAGCAGCACTAAATATCCAGCACTAGAAAATGGCTTAAATGCATTTTGTCAAGCTGTACAATGTCATTTATGTAGCTGTTAACAGTGGTGCATAACATTTCATTGTATGGTTGAATAAACACCAGCACATTCACATATGTAAATGAATTGAAAAAATAAGGATCCCAATCTGTAATGCAGTAAAATACCAATTACATTAAATATGTGTATATTTGTAGAAGAAAAAAATGGAGGGAAATAAAACAGGATGCCAGTGGGAATTAGAAAATACTATTCTGCATTTTCTATATGTTCTGTGATGAACATATTACTCAGAAAACCAGAATAGGTTTTAGGGAAAGGGCCACTGCTACTATAGAAGGTGCAAATAAAACGTCTGTGAGATGGACTACCCAAAGCCACAGCCACAGTCATGCAGAGTGGGAGCTCCCCGGGGAAGGCCTGGGAGCGGGGAGGCCGGTGGGCGCAGGGAGGCACTGGCTGGGCACCAGGGGATCAGCCCCCTGGGCCTGCACTGTTAGACTGGCACATTTGGTACCTTTTAATCCTGCCTAGACTCTTTTGTACTTCCTGGCTCTGAGGACTCCTGTGTGTTTATTTCTAGAAATTTCCCACCCATCGGCTCTTGGAATGTTACTCTTGCCTATCCCTGAAGTCTCATTTTTCTAGAACCCCTCACGGGTCCTCCTGTGCTGTTCTCCCACCCTCTTTGGTATCTCCTTTTGCACACTTTCTCTCTGTGCCACATCTGAGAGATTTCCTCAGATCTACCTTCCGTTTCACTGTTTGCTTCTTTGGGTCTAATCTGTTGAGGCATCCATTGAATTCTTAATTTTAGCACTATATTTTTATTTTCAAAAGTTCTGTTTGGTTCTTTTAAAAGTCTAATATGAGGGCCGGGGATTTAGCTCAGTGGTTTCGACGCTTGCTATGCAAGCGCAAGGACCCGAGTTCGATCCTTGGTACCAAAAAACAAAACAAAACAAAAGTCTAATATGAGCTGAGTGCAATGGTGCACACTTGTAGTTCCACCTACTTGGGAGGCAGAGGCAGGAGGATTGCTTGAGCTCAAGAGTTGGAGACCAGGATGGGCAGTGCAGTGAAATCCTATCTTAAACAAATGGATAGATAGATAAATCTGATTAACATACTCCGGATTGTCTTCAGATTAAATAGATCTTTTGCCTCTTAGTAAAAAAAGAGTCTGATTTAAAAGAAGAATATCTTCTTTCTTTTTTATATTTTCAACATTGCCTTTTATGTCTCTAATCATTTGACCACTCTCGTTGGTGATCCTTGTTGCTTTCTTTGTGTGTGAGTCTGCTGCCCCACGACTCCAGCTCACAGCAGGGTCTCTGGGTGGACCTCATGTGACTGTGGACCTCTGCTTCTGTCTAGCACCCTCCTCTGTGATCCAGGGCCGAGGGGCTGTGTCGTCTGAGGGTCACACATGACCAACCCTAGAAGGATGCTTCTATTTCTTTCTCAGCCTTTGGGTTTCTGGATCTTCAGGGAAGTGACTACTTAAACCCCAAGTGATTTTGGAAGCTGTGGGGAGATTTTTGCTGTTTTAAATTTGGTGCACAGGCAAAGACAAAACAGCTTTCTAACCATGAAGAAGTAGATTTTCCCTATTGCAGAAAGTAGTCCTAAATCCCAGCTTTCTGCAGAGTCTTGGCTTCAGTTTCCCACCTCGAGCAAGCCTAGAGTTGTGCTCTTGGTCATCCTTATCCACCCAGTATTGAGGAGTGAACCCAGGGCCTTTTCACTGAGCTACATCCGCAGCCCTTTTTTATTTTTTGAGATAAGGTCTCTCTAAGTTGTCTGGACTGGGCTTGAATTTAAGATCCTTCTGCCTCTGCCTCCCAGAGTGCCGGGATAATAGGTATGTGCCACCACACTCCACCCCCTCTGGGCCTTCTAGTGACCCAGACTGTCCTACCAGGCCAGGTAAACAGCAGTAGCAGCCATCTACCATTCTTTCGATTCTTCTTGACTTTTGGCTTGCTCTTATTAAATGCCAGGCATCATTACAAATGCCTTGTCAGTTTTGACTCATTTAATTGTCATCACAGCCTTATGG